ACGCTCGCGGCGCAGGCTGCCCGCCAGCATCCGTCCCCGCTCTGTACTCAGGCCTCGTCCTTGCCCGGTTCGCACCTCTATTGATTTTTCCCCTCGTTTCTCTAACTTTCCTTAGCTGAAAAGACCAAGGAAAGACATCAAAGGATAAATCCCCTTTCTGCTTCCCCTGGCAGATGCAGTAAGTACACTCTTCACACCTACCTGCAGGTCATTTGGAGATCCTAAATTAGAATCTCCTGGGCTCTCAGAGCAATTCTCTCTGCCATTTCCCTTCTCCGAGTCTACAATCCAAGCTGGGAGAGAAGGGTGACCGGAAGGAAAAATGCAAACTAAAAGCGCGTGCATCGGCCCATCTCCAAGAGAAATCGCTTCAGACACCAGCAGTTGCACAGCATCAAGAATTAACTTTATTCGCAACGGCACCGGATAATCACGTTCTCTCTCAAGACGCGTGCGGTCTGCAACATGAGGGCGAGGACCGGCAGAGGCGCAAAGCAGCCGGCAAACGAGCAGAATCTCATCATACCTGGGACCGGAGGAAAAGGTATGAGTTGAGGAGAGCAGGCCACGCGGCGCGCTCTCCAGTGGGAAGCGCTGAAGGCCACAAAGGGACACTTGGGTTGCCAGCGCAAGGCTGGCTCGGGCTCTTCACCACGCCTCGGTCAAGCGGGAGACGGGGAGAGAGCACCCGCTAGCGACCCGTTCTTGACGTATTTTCCACAGATAGCATCCCTGAGGCACCAGCTGTAGTGCCAAGTTACGCCATTACATCCTCGCTCACCAGTTCACCTCTCCTAGACCATAAATCCACGCAATAATTTTATTTATTTGGTCCAGGCTGCATTTGCATATGGAAGTTTAAGTGGCTTTAAAAGCCGGTCCCCTTTGGGGGGGGCCATCTTTTTGGGTGTTACGGTAGCTCGCCCCTCTGAAAGCATCTGGAGACCATATGCCGCCTGCCTACCTAAATTAATCAGCTTTCTGCCGCGAAGACCAGATCAGAGCCTCTCCAATACCGCTCCGTGGCTTTTACGGACCCTCCTCAACGCAGACTAAAGGCACCTTAAAAACCTCCGGTTAGGACCACTTAGCATTTCGCTTTCCTTGGGGTTCGGCTGCAGACAGGCAAGTTACGGGTCCACAACCATCCCGCCGCGGCCACAGCAGGAGAAACGGTCTCAGCTGGGCCACGACACGCATCCCCGGGACTAGCGGCACCGCGCTGGGGGCCGGGTGATCCCCGAGACCACCCAAATGCTGTAGGGCTAAACTCTTAACGAAGAGGCAGCAAAACCCAAGGCGCCCTCAAAAGCCCCGGTTTCGGTTTAAGCCCGGCTGGGTGCCCCAGGCGAGCCACCCTTGCCCGCCGGCACTTCCCCGTGCCCCCGGTGCTCCCCTGAGCTCCCCGGGGAGGACGAGGCTTTTTTGTTCCTTTTGCTCCGGTCAAAGTGGGGAGTGACAAAGGACCTCCCAAAGGCAGGGGACACCCCTTTCCAGAAGGGGGACTTTCCCCCTGGAGGAGACCCCCAGCCCAAGACACGGCATGCCCGGCTTTCGGGGGAGGAAAAAACCAAAAACCCTAAATACCCGACAGCGGCACGGCGAATCGAGGGCATCCCCGCCCCGGCTGCTCCTCTACACGAGGTGGACAATGAGAACGGAGGAGGCGGAC